AGGGTCACCCCCACTGTCCCCAGCCGGTCAGGAGATTGGCCACATCCTGGTTTGGTCAGCAGGTGGCAGGCGTCCCCACAGGCCAGGAGGAAACAGTTGGTGGCCTTTATTTCCTTGGCATATGAATATGTGGCACCTGATGGAGAGTGAATGCCTTGCGCTGCCTGTTTGGTTCAGTGGATAGCGTGTCAGCCTGCAAACCAAAGGGTCCTGGGTTCAATTCCGGTCAAGTGCATGTACCTAGCTCCAGGCTCCTCTCTGACCCTCAGGAGATTGGCCACATCCTGGTTTGGTCAGCAGGTGGCAGGCGTCCCCACAGGCCAGGAGGAAACAGTTGGTGGCCCTTATTTCCTTGGCATATGAATATGTGGCATCTGATGGAGAGTGAATGCCTTGCGCTAGCCTGTTTGGTTCAGTGGATAGCGCGTCAGCTTGCAAACTAAAGGGTCCTGGTTTCAGTTCCGGTCAAGGGAACGTACCTTGGTTCCAGGCTCCTCTCTGACCCGGGCCCATGCAGGCAGCAGCCAATCGATGTGTTTCTCTCACATCGAAGTTTCTCTGTCTTTCTCTCTCTCTTCCATTCTCTCTGAAAATCAATGGGAAAATATCCTCAGGTGAGGATTAAAAAAAAAAATGAGTGCCTCTTCAAACATCTTCTCCTTCCTCTCTGAAATCAGTATAAATATATATATTTGGAGGGACGGGGACACCTGTCCTGTTGGTGGAGCTAGGAGCTCTGAGGAGGGGAAAGGAAGCCTGTGTACCTTTAGCGCAGGGTGGTGTGAAATGTAATTGTAGGGGGTGGCAAGATTGATAGGGTTGAGGTGGATGGGGAGATAATGTGCTTTATTTCCAATATTTTCATTTACTTGAAAAAGAAACATGGATGAATTACTCAAAGATTAGAAGTTGCTTTTTAAAAAAGAAATTATCTACAAAGATGACAGTCTGTGCAGCAAGGAAAAGGTGTGTCTGATTTGATGAGAGATACATGCAGTAGGCTTGCAGTTAGAGCCAGGAAGGAACGGTTGTGCTGGGCTCAGCGACTTGGTTTATTTCTGGGGGATTCCGATCCCATGGGCCTGCGAGTCTAGTAGTAGTGAGCCGTGAAGAAGGGCCAAGCTCGGGTGGAGGAGAGAGCAGCCCCGTTGGGGAAAATCACACTAGGACTAGTTTGTGTATTCTAGGCCTTTCCCCCTTTCCCGTCTGTATTTGACTTAAAGCCTTACGGGTCAGCTGACCCACAAGCAAACACTGTTCTCTGACCATGAGCACTTCATAGAAAAATCAGGGTTGTGTCGTGAGGAAGTTCAGGGCTTTGTTGGAAAGTCTGGAAGGAGGATTCTCCGAAAGGTCAGGGGGCCTCTAGGGAGACCTTGCCAAAGGCAGCAGCCTCTCCCTTGACTTTTCCAAACAAGTCGGAGCCCCCAGGTGTTTTGCTAGAATCTCTGTTTAGTCTTTAGACATGACGTTGTAGAAGCATGTGCTTTTTCAATGATACCCTGATGTTTGTGTCTAGAGGTTAATTTGAGTTCAAGCTGTTGTGACAATAAAAGCCTGAGGAGGCAGGTGAGCGGGGCTGTTTGGTTGCTACAGCCAAGCAGCCCCTTAGCCCTCGCTTTCACAGAAACGTGTGTCAGAGTAACCCATTCATCGTCGCTCGGGCTGCTGGTCAGCCCGGCCTTGAGTTTGCACATCTTTCAGAGAACGGTTCCCTCCTACAGCCCCTCCTGTTCTCACATGGCTCCCGCGCTGTAACTTCTGTCCGTTTCCAGGGCTGTTTCTCATCCTCTTCCCTGCCCCACAGGGCATGGTATGCCTGGGCCTAGGAGGCATAGGACTCCCTGGGGGTGAAGGCTCCTGTTGGTGTGCCTCACACGGGGCGGCTTCTCTGCATCTCAGATCTGCCTTATCAGAACCCTGTACTTCCTGTCCCCTTTATCCGTTCCTACTTTCTCAGCTCCTTCTGCGATTAGCTACAGCATTGGGAAGTGTCCTGGGACTTGAAACCCTTCTCCAGCGCGTGACCACATGGCTCAGAAGACACATCTGGCGGTTGCCTCTGGGCGGGAAGGCTGCAGGCCCGGGAACTGCCTCCCCACCTCCTCTCCTTCAGGGAACCCTTTCAGCAACAGCTGAAGCCCCTGCTGCCTCCTCCTCATCCCCCTTTTACTGGCCTTCTGTGCCTCCCTGGCCTGGCAGGAACCGTGGTCCTGCCCTCGCCTCCATGTGCTGGTTCTGGGAGCCAAACTGCAAACCCCACAGCAACAGAGTGAGGGCTGTGGGTGCCACATCCTTCCCGTCCTCCACACCCGCTGCAGGACAGTCTCCTTAGCCAGGCTCGCTCCCCTCGGGGGTCCCCATGCCCGGCTGTACCCACTGCCCAGAAAACGACCTGCTGGTCTTCGGGAGTAAGAGGATGGTTTCTGTTCTAGAACAAGAGGAGCAGGAGCCCACAGTGCCCAGGAGGAAAGAAGAAGAGCGCTGCTGCTGGGGCCGTGGCCATGGTAAGCCGCGGGCGCTTTCACCAGTGTGGCTGCTGGCGGAACCGTCACAGAAATGAGACCGGGCAGGTCTAAGGGGACAGGAAGTGGCCAGTGGTTACCTGGAGCTGGGATCGGATTGGAGACTGGGAGGTGCCTGCTAAGGGGGCTGCAGGCTGCTTGGTGGGCATGAAGATGTTCCAGTATTTCTAAGGGGAGATGGTTGCACAATCTGAATATACAAACATGGGACTGTACAGTGGAAAGGGGTGAATTGTGTGGTATGTGAATGGTATCTCAGCGCTGCTACAGAACTGTGTGTGGCTGCTGCTCAGCTAATGGATGTTATGTTCAGATGGAGCGTCGGTTTTCCTCTGAACCACAAAACATACGCTTTATCCAGGAAGCTCCAGAAAATGTTGAGCTCTTGTTTTAAAAATAGAAACAGCTTGGGAGGGACCCTTTGAGGAAAAGTGGGTGAGAGCAGAAGGCACTGCTCCAACCTCAGGGGCAGGTAGGCAGGAACCGCTGGGTTTTAGGAGATCTAGACACTCACACGGATGCAGTAATCCCACCTTCAGGGTGCTGTCACTAACAGGACTGGTAAATGGGTTTTAGTGCATTTACACTGTAGAATACTGTGCTGACGGGAAAAAGTAAAATACTGCCGCCAAGATAGTATTTTTAAAAAGGAAAAATCCTGAGAAGTGCCCTCATTTGTGGGGGTTTAACTATATAGAAGCACATCTATATGCATAAGAAATGGCTGGAAGGATCCACAAGCTAGAATGCAAACGGGAACTTCATCTCAGTAGTGAAAATTCACATGCGGACTAGAAAGAGGAGGTAGAGCCAGTGCAGTCTTAATAATATCGAGTCAGCCCTGGCCCGTTTGGCTCAATGGATAGTGTTGGCCTGCAGACTGAAGGGTCCTGGGTTTGATTCTGGTCAAGGGCACATGCCCAGGTTGCCGGGTTAATCCCCAGTGCGGGGTGTACAGGAGGCAGCCGATCCATGATTCTCTCTCATTGATGTTTCTGTCTCCCTCCCCCTTCCGATCTGACATCAATGAGAGAGGCAACCACAGTTCTCCCGATGGCCCTTCCCTGGCCAGCCTCTAGGTACCAGCAAGTACGTAGGGTAATCAGTGGAAGGACTCGGTGTGCTCTCTGCTGGCATTGAAGTCCGTTGATGAGATGGAACTGCCAAAGGTCTTAGGTGGCTGGTACCTGAGCAAAAGTGTGTTTGATTAGAAGATGGCCCAGCGTTCCCCAAATCCATGGCGGTTCTGACAGCTTTGGAGGACCTCAGGGACCCCTGAACCTGAATGTAGGGCTTCTGTCCTGCAGGCAAGAGTTCTTCGGGAAACCAAGCCAATCCCCAACCTCATCTTCGCCATCGAACAGTATGAGAAATTCCTCATCTTCCTCTCCAAGAGGTCCAAGGTAAACACACTCTTCTCTTCTACGTGTTCATTTACCTGGAGGGGACCTGCCACTGAGGCAGCCAGGCTGTGCGGGGAGGGTGCGGCCCTTTCTGTGTCTGACCTGACAGCCTAAATCCAAACATCACGTAGGAAACTGGTGGAGCCCAACCGCCATGGCTCAGTGGTTGAGCATCGACCTATGAACCAGGAGGTCACGGTTCGATTCCCAGTCAGGGCACATGCCCGGGTTGTGGGCTCAATCCCCAGTGGGGGGCGTGCAGGAGGCAGCCAGTCAATGAATCTCTCATCATTGTGTTTCTCTTTCTCTCTCCCTCTCTGAAATCAATAAAAATCTATTTTTAAAAAGAAAGAAAAGAACTGGTGGGAAAGCGGGGCCAGGGTGTGAGCTCGCTTTAAGTAGGACCTGAGGGGTGTGGGTGAGGCTGTGGGCGGCCCTGCGTGTGCAGCAGCAGGAGCATGTGCCGCGCTTGCGTCCGTGCAGGTGAACCTGATGCAGCACATTAAGCTCAGCACCTCGCGGGACTTCAAGATCAAGGGGAACATCCTGGACCTGCTTCTCCGGGAGGAGGAGGAAGAGGAGGAGGAGGAGAATGACGAGAACAAAGAGGTCAGTCTCTGCTTCCTCCGACCGGGGCAGGAGTCCTGCCCCCCTTCCCAACGGGTTGCGGGGAGCCTGTCTGGGAGCAGCCGCAGGAAAATGGGGGGGGCAACAGCCAGACAGGATGGGCTGAAAGGGCGCCAGGCCAGGACACAACTAAACCCTCAAGAGGAGGAGGTTCAGAAGCTTTGAGCCACACCCGGGGCCCACACTTATACATTTGGGGCACACATTTCCAGAAGGGGTGGTGACCAAACGAGGTCTGTGGGTGACGCATTGGAGCTGACCGCCCAGCCCCAGCGTTCTGGCCCAGGACCTGCTATGCTCCCTCCTCCCTCCTCCCTCGGCCTGTCCGCTCCTTTGGTTTCCGTTGATAGCACACCCTGGGCCTGCAGCACCTTTGAAACAGGGCCCAGAGTTGGATAAACGCTCTAATTTCTGGCTTCTCAAAGCTTCTGCCCCACACACTGTCCCACTCCCGGCCATGGTGTCCCTGCCCCGTCCACTCCCTCGACCTGCTTGGCGATGGAGGTGAGCATTTGGGGGCTCCTCCTCTGCCATCTTGTCCATGCATCTCCCTGGTTAACAAAGGTCCAGAGACACAGTGTACACTGCCTGCCTCTGCCCCGAGGCCTCCCTTCCCCCACCCAGGCCTCCCTCCCCCCTCGGCGCAGCCAGTGGGACGGGAGAAAGCACAGCTCCCCAGGCTCCGATGAGAAGATAAAGGATCTGTTTATTTCCCGGCGTCTGAGCAGGGTGGTCACCTCTCCTTCTAGGACACCACGTCAGAGCACGGAGAACAGAACAAAGAACCAGCCAAGAAGAAAAGGAGGAAAGAAACGAAATGCCTGAGTTAATGTGCCCTTTGGGGCTTCTGCTTCCTGTTTACCCGACAAGCAGCACCGCCCCTTGTCCGACAGCCTGCACCAACGTTGGCCTCTCGGTTCTGAACCCGTTGAACTCAGCTGCACCTTCTGTGACAGGCAGTCCTCCCTGGCAGCCTGCTCCTGGCAAAGCGCAGCCGAAAGCCTGAGTGTGGGCGCCGCGCACCCGGTGAGCTCCACGGGAGCAATGCCCGCCTCCGCGGCTACGGGCCCGGCCGGCCGCGCCTCTCCAGGGAGCCTTTGGTGAGTTCCAGGACCTGGTAGATATCCAGTGCTTCACCTGGAAGAGAGCAGGTTGCTAACGACACTGTCTCGGCTTGGGGCTCGGAGCTCAGGGGAGGCCCTGTGCTTCTGTATAAAACGTTTGTCTTAGATACGCTTCCTCTAGAAAGGAGGCTTTCTGGTTGTTTGGCGTTCGGGGCACAGGTTTTTTTCACTTAACGCACTTTGACTTTGCACAATAAACCTTTAAACGTGGCCGGTGTGGTTGGAGAGGGAGAGGTGCCGATGGACGAACCAGAGCCGCCAACATGCTGTCACTCCTGTGAGCATGCCCCAGAAGCACAGCCCCTCGGGGTTCATGTCCCGCTCCTGGGGGGCCCAGGGCCCCTTATACACACGTAGCCGACCTGCTTGCTAAGAGGGGATGCCCTCTGGTGCCCAAGCTTCCTGTGGCAGAAAGCTGCCCAGGGCACCTCACCTCCCACCCGGAACGAGAGGCACCAAGGCGTGTGCTCACCCTGGGGAACCCCGTATCTCCTTTCCATCCCCGTCGGGTTGGAGGGGGTTTTACAATCCATGGTCACTTCCTTCCTGAGACACCGGTCAATGTCGACAGCACTGAAAAAGGCGACGGACTGGGGCAGGTCATTGAGGCCCAGCTTGTAGGCGAACATGCACCTGAAAGAGACCGGCCCCTCAGCGGCTCCTGCCGCGCCCTGGCCCTCACCGCGGAGGGACGGCCTGCACCCCGGGGGCAGGGCACGAGGGCCAGCGCCCCCGCCTTCCCACGCCCCCCAGGGAGCTCCTGAGAGGCAGGGATGACACACGTCACTGGTGTAAAAACTTCCCTCATCACCTGAGTATACAAGGACTTTGTTAGCTCCTTACGCAAAGCCCCCGGGACCCGGTGCAGAGGGCACTGGAGACAGGCCGCACACTGTAAACACTGGTTGTTTACCGTTAATCAGGACAGCGCGGCTCCCACTGGTTCTCAGTGGCAGATCAACACGGAACTGTGCTATCATTTAGTTCAACCAGTAAGTGAAATTCTACCATGAGAAAATGCAACCCAATATATAGGGTATACATTATTTTAAAATCACACGTGAATTTCCCCACTAGCCATGTACTACTGTTAGGAATCAGAATAACCAGCTTCTGGCACTGAAGGAAACGTTCACAGGTAAAGGTGTGTTCTTAGGGGGCGCTATTTGAGAGCTACTATTTGGGAAAATGGCCCCGACCCACCTGCTCACCACGTCAGTGATCTAATCTATGACCCTTTCAGGCCAAGAAATCTTTAAAAGTTGAAGGCCAGCCTTAAGACTTTAAAAAACTAGAGAGGAAAGCTAACACATCCACTTCCGGGGAGATGAGCGCTAGGTCCCACTCAGCCCGGCCCACCTGGTCAGCAGGTTGGTGATCTGCAGGGCCAGGGCCGCGCGGTAGCGGTCCTCCTCGCGCACCAGGTAGCGGACCTCGTCGTGGATGCTGATGCAGAAGCGCCCGTCGATGGCGAACTCCTCGAACAGCCACTTCATGGCCACAAGCATGAGGTGCAGGTAGTCCACCGCGGAGCTCTGCACCACCCAGTTCACCCGGCTGGTCATGAACTGGGGAGGGAGGGAGGGGCGCCGGTGAGGGATCCCGCCCGCATCTGTGCCTCCCTCCCTCCCGGGACCTCCCGTGTCCACGCAGTACCTCCCCCTGAGCCACCGAGGGCTCCAGGGCCCGGCTGATGCGGCAGCCCAGCACCGGGGTGCGTGGCTCGTCGGCCGTGGCGATGCTCTCCAGCTTGTTGAACATCTCTGACTCCGTGCCCCCCGTCCACATACGCTCTGCAACCACGTTCCACTTCTTCCCGCGGGACCTGGGGACCGGAGCAGACCGAACAAGCGTTGTCTTTCCCGATCAGCTCATCCCAGCTCCCAGGCCCGCCCGGACCCTCCCTCCCTCCCCACTCAGAGGGTTCTCACTTTCTCGAAGCTTCCCTCTGGACCTTGCGCAGATCCTGCAGGGAAACGCAGCCGTCCTCGGTCCTCTCCACGGGGATGTGCAGCTGCCTCACCAGCCACTCGCCCTCATCGGACAGCCGATACCTGGGGGCAGGTCACCACCATCACTCCCATGGGAGTGTCTGCTCTGTGCCAAGCCCTGGGCCCCTGCCTGTCCCCCACAGGCTCGCTTCAGAGGCAGAAATGGGCACGGAGAGGCTGGCAGAGCCCAGACAGGAATCCACGCTTTGGATTATGCTGCCTGTCCCAAAGCCTTAGACGCAATTGCCAAAGGACTGACGTTTTTAAAAACATATATTTTTATTGGTTTCAGAGAGGAAGGGAGAGGGGAAGAGAATCATTGGTTGGCTGCCTCCAGCATGCCCCCTACTGGGGATCGAGCCTGCAACCTGGGAATGTGCCCTCGAACCGAATCAAACCCGGGACCCTTCAGTCTGCAGGCCGACGCTCTATCCACTGAGCAACACCGGCTAGGGCAGGGCTGGCAAATGTAATTAACCCTGTAAGGCAGTGGTTCTCAATACAGTTCCTCATGTTGTGACCCCCCAACCATAAAATTTTCGTTGCTACTTCATAACTAATTTTGCTACCGTCATAAATTGTACTGTAAATATCTGATATACAGGATGTATTTAAGCAACCCCTGTGAAAGGGTCGTTCGACCCCCAAAGGGGTCGTGGCCCACAGGTTGAGAACCGCTGCTCTAAGGAGACCTGTTCAAGGCCGACTTAAAGGTCACAACCCAGGGACGAGCCACCCTGCAGCTCAGTCACAGGTGTGAAGGGAGAGAGCCAGGTAACGGGAGGGAGGGCAGACAGGGGCAGTGGGGGGTAGCAGAGCGGGCCTGAGGCCCGGGGAAGGATGCAGGGGACCCTCACCTGCGCAGGCCCTTGGTGACGGCGTACATCTGCTGGGCCTTCTCGGCCGCCTCCTGCGAGGTGAGGCGGTGGTTGAACTGCATGAGCAGGCGCTCGGCGAAGGGCTGCCCGGCCCCGTAGATGCGGCCGTAGTTGAAGACCTTGGCGTGCTCGCGGCTGATGCCCACGGTGGCGGCCGTCTTGCTGTGCAGGTCGGTGCCCCGGCTCTTGCGGCCCTGCAGGGTCATCCAGCCGAAGGCCGTGCAGCCTGGGGGCAGGACGGAGGGAGAGGGGCTCAGACACACCGGCCCCGCCTCGCAGCTGGCTCCCTGCCCGCGCCGGCCCCGCTTGTG